TTGCCAAACTAAGCTGGAATTAATGGGCTCCATTGTAGCACCACCAGTGGCTATTGCCAGTTGCGTCCCTTTTAAGCCTCTCCTATGGACCAATCAGATTCCATCACTGGTGGTGGTGGTGCCCAGTCAGGATGATCTGATCGATAATCAACATCTATATTGTGATAAAAGGGGTCTTACATCGCGAAATGCATCAAATCACGTAAGCACCTTGATTAAAAACATGAAAAGATTTGGAAAATATCTGCTGTCAACGAGTTGGTGGTGCACATGCTTTGCAAATCTTGCAATCGATCGAAATCTGCTCGACAGTTTACGAACCTGATTTCGATTTCGGTGCGCGATTTTGATTGGACTTTGCATAGACTCGTTAGTCGACCCAAAATGTAACTCCATAATACCAGCCTAGTTCGGCAAGGGTGGAAACTGGACTTTTATATTCAGTTAACTCTCTTGCCTCGGGAAGATGTCTCATCACAGAAACTGTGATATTTGCAAAGCTTTTACTTTTCACTTTTTCACCTGATGACCTAATTCTTAAACATGGTCCACTCTCTGGTCTTCAATGGCTGCCGACCTCAATCTCAGTCTCTCATTTTCCCGTTCGTCCATAATTTCCTTTTGTAATGAGCTGCGTCTCTTGTCTAGTGGGAGAAGTTCTAACTCTTTCTCCAACTCAGCACACTCTCTCCGTGCCGCCATCAGTGACCAGTTCAGGGATTTGCTGTCTGTGTCTCGGCGTTGATGTTGTCGCGCCAATTTCCCCTTCATGCATTTACTTTGTCATCCACACAAGGCTGGAAAGAGAAATGGTCTCTGTGTTGTCAATGCCATTCTCGAAAGCCAGTAGTGCTGGCATTCCAGTCTCTGCTCCTTTTCTTTTTCCTTTCTGCATCTTAATTCTTCTCTAAGACTCTTACCCTAACTAAATTATTTTCTTTCTTCTTCTATTTGAATTTTTCATTTCAACTATCATGTAATTGGTATAGTAGGAATGTAAGGGGGAATTTGGGTGATTTTCTGTTCGTCTGCAGTCTCGAACCAATCTGATCAAACAAACAAAAAGTTAAATTCATCTGGGAAATATGGTCAGTCGTAAACCTTTTAAAAAATAACTGTATTAACATTCCAAAAGACAAAATAAAAAGTATATACGTTACTACATTTGGAGTTAGAGGGCAATTTTCAAAATTCTTGTAATGGCCGCGCCCACACTGGTGGCAGTGATGTTACCGAGAGTGTAACGAAGGTGTCACGCGCTGGGAAGGAGCTTGGTGGCAGCGATGTTACCGAGAGTGTAACGAAGGTGTGACACGCTGGGAAGGAGCTTGTTCTAGCATGACATAAGGGGAGGTAACTCCCAAAATCCAATTCACTTAAGAGATAAATATTTCGTTTTGTAAGATTTGCGTGATGTTATGCTGAATGGATGTTCGGAAATATTATTTGAACACGACGCCGAGTGTCAACTTGCTGAGGTAGTGACAAGAGAGGTCAAACATGTGCGAGATTTTAGATATGCAGCTTAGCTGGGATGGAAAAAGTTGTTTACTGTCACGGTGGAATTACATATGTGAAAGAGACCATGGGAATTAGCAGAAGAATTAACCTGGAAGTTATTCACGGGAGCAGTGGACAGTGGCAGGATATTTGTATTTTGGACAGGTACCAAATTACGTTCGTTAGCGAGCTGCTGCTGTCCCTGAAGAATGTTCGAATAATGTCGTTTTTGAGCCGAGCTCGAGTCAATGGAATACGACTTCAACGATTCATCGGTTTTGTGGCCGGTAATTTTGCAAATCTCGCGATTTTCAATGCCTGCGTTTGACAGCAAAGTAACAGCAGTTGCCCGAAGATAATGGTTTGTATACACTTTGAGACCAGCGTTGGTAGAAATTTCTTTCATCATGTTGCCAATGACATTTACACCAACTGGCCTCGTGGTGTACCATTCGGAGTCGTCGACGTGGACTCGTTTCTTGGGAGCCTGGTAAAAAGCACCATTGTTGGGATTGAGGAGAGACATGAATTTTTTTAATGAAAGTACAGGACAGAATTGGTCCGATGTTGCATAAATGCGTTTGTTGGGCCCATTTCAGTCTTTGAGGTCCCCCCTATGATTTTTTGTGACTTCGGAGTGTGTCATTTCAATGAACTCAAACCTCTGTTCATCGGTGGATACACAAAAGGAAGATGCAGTTAATTCCCTTTGGTTTTCTTTAGCACGACGAGCGAAACCAAGTGTAAGGTCGAACCACACTTTACCAAGCAAGCCGGAAGGAGTTTCCGTATCCAAACTTTCACGAATTTTTTTTAAATCATTCTCGGGGATAGCAGCATGATGTGTTGTCTGGTCAAGGCCATCGCGCTTGAGTTTTTTTTATCATGGACAGAAAAACATTGTTTGCAGTTTGAAATTCCCGATCTTGGATAATGTTTATGCTGCGCTCAAATGGCGGTCCCCTGATGTGCATGTGTATGGCAGCACGCAACCCAACAAAACTCGATTTTGAGTAAAGATTTCCCTCAGCATTTCTGACTTCGGCATAAAAGAACCTCAGTCTCTCATTCAGTTGAGAAGCAGGAAGCTCTTCGAACTTGGGTTCAAAACCTCGGAAACCAAGCCATTCTGGAAGTGAAAAAGATTGCCTTGTTCAGGGTACAAATGTGACAGTAAGTGGGAGTAATTTGTTATTAGTCCTATTACGGCGTCGTGTTTAAATGAAATTTCCGTATATCCATTCAGCATAACATATCTCAAATCTAACAAAACGAAATATTTAATTTACGTTAAGATTTTGGTCAATCTCGTTATATTATTGCCAATTTTTGCTATGACACATTGGTCACGCTTAACATTGCTATCATGGCAATGGTGTAAGGGAGGTAACTCTCGCTGATGTTGATCGAATCTGCGTAGGAATTTTAGGTATGTGTTTATGTATTCTTTTATGTTTCAATGGCTTACGTCGAAATATTTTAACTCCCCAGGAGGTATTACGCCCAGTAGATTTGGAGAGGTTCCCATCCACGATGTCCTGTACTGCATTTGCATCAAGGGACGCGAAGCGGTCACTGGACTCTTTGAACGGAAACGCCGGCTGTATTTCCTAGTTCAGGGGCCATCTCAGAACGGTTTTCAGCTTCAACAGCTGTTGTGAGTAATAATAATAACAAAATTAGGTGGGTGTATGAAAGTCATAACTATTATAGAGTTGCAATAAAAAATTTTACTCTGTCAAAAAATGATTTTCTTTTCTTTTCCCTTTGGCCAAGCCCAAGAAAATGACATCATTTATGATTATGATTGGGTAATTAATGAAAATAGGTAAATTTCATTTACCTTCAAATTCTTGAATTATTTCAGAAAATGTCTTTTCGTCCAAATCACTCAATATTTCATCGAAATCTCCGATGTGGAAGTCAGGGTAAATTTCCATCTGTTCCTCCATGTTGATGATTTCAAAAATAGTTCCATTAATTAATGTATACATACACGGTGATGAGACCCAAAAAATTCAGCGATGTTATGCTCATTCGACAACACTTTTTAACCAATCAGATAAGAGAACATACCTACTTTTATGTTACAATAATGAATATAAACGTCGTTCAATTTACTACGTCATCAAGTATGTCATCGAACGCATGTTCGAATTTCCTGAAGTGACGTCATGGTAGAACAATATTTTATCGTGAAATAAGCCACACTTCGTTCTTCATTGTCCTTTGCGAATTATCGCGTAGCTATCACATAAGATCTACCTGGATAAAACCCACGAGCACTGGTATACGGCTGACAAACCGATAATCTTAATCAAGCCGAATCTTTGATTCGGACCAATGATCCTTGGATGCTGTCCCTCTGTAGGTCCCGAATGGTCGCCGGTGTTCAATGATTTGTTTGTTTTGTTTGTTTGTTTGTTTGTTTGTTTGTTTAACGCCTACACAATGACGTCAGCCTAGGAACAGGGTTGCTGGGTTCATCGAGTGTGCATAAGCTCCTCACAGCGATAGCCCGTTCGCGGAGCTCTCTGAGTTGAATTCGCAACCGACTGACCGTTATGTCTTCATACAAGTGTTTGTTTGTTGTTGTTTGTTTTGGGTTTTTTTAACGCCGCATTCAGCAATATATTTCAGCTTTATGACAACGGTCTGTAGATAATCAAATCTGGACCAGACAATCCAGTGATTGATATCATGAGCATCGATCCACGCAATTGGGATAAAATGACATGCATGAACCAAGTCAGCGAGCCTGACCACCCGATATACCCTTAGTCGTCTCTTATTATAGCAAATAAAGCATAGTAGCCTCTAACCCGGATCTTTACGGGTGGTGTTCTGTGAAGTACAGCGACAAATGTAAGGTACTTACTCCAAGTGACACTGATGTCTTTACAAGATAATACTTATTCCATTTTTATTCACTGTTAAAATTATTTTATTATACTTATCCATAGTCTTTTTTGCGTATTATCATGTCACTCTTTGATTGGCATTCTAGAGTAAGTGAGTGGATAACAATGTTTTCACCTTTAGCAATATTACAGCAATATCACGACTGTTGACACCAGAAAGGGGATTCACACATTGTATTCAAACGGGGAATCGAACCCGGGTCTTCGGCGTGACGAGCGAACGCTTAACCACAAGTTGGGGAGTAAATATGAAAGACACCGTACACTTTACTTCAGGTTTATTGCATTCAGCGACGTTTCGATTAAGACTCTCACACTGTTATCAAGTTGTACGTTTTGTTATTATCAAGTTTGACCACATGTTGTGTAAGAGTGAGTGAGTGAGTTTGATTTTACGCCGCTTTTAGCAATATTCCAGCAATATCACGGCGTGACGAGCGAACGCTTCAACCACTAGGCTACCCGACAGCCCCTGTTGTGTAAGATGACACTCTATATGTGTATGGTGACAGTCATTATGACGAGGCTACATCACAGCGTGCATGCCGCCAGCAGGTATGAGGTCGGCCAAAGGGGTCAGGATGTCACACACAGGCTGATCTCACTGCACGCACTGTATGTGAAGGACTGCCCCTTGAGGATGGGAGAGTGGTCGCAGCGGGCACCATGACACGACAGTCGGACACCAGCTAATATTCAGCAAATACCATGCAGATGTCAGATCTGATTTTGTCTTGGATAAACCTGACTGTATTGCACAGAACCTGAACACGAAGCTGACAGAATTGTAAGTATATTGCAGTCTACAATCAGACAGTGTCTGTACGTAATACGCCAGTGGACGTATCACATCCATCTATGTACGTTAATGTTTATACACCAGCGTCATGCAGATACTTGATGTAGAATATGAGATTTTTACCAATCTCTCTCACACTTGTGTTTAGGTTTGTGTAATTTGTGTAATGGCAATTATCTCACCTTACATTAAAATACTAGCTTCCGATTAGTTAGGGAGCGGGCAATTACTTTTCATGTAGCCACTCATGTACCCCGTTGAGAAATCAACCGGGACACACTAGGGTGTGTGTGGGTATCAGTGACATGGAGGCATTCATTGAGACAAGGACACTAGGGTGTGTGTGGGTATCAGTGACATGGAGGCATTCATTGAGACAGGGACACTAGGGTGTCTGTGGGTATCAGTGACATTGAGGCATTCATTGAGACAAGGACACGAGGGTGTCTGTGGGTATCAGTGACAAGGAGGCATTCATTGAGACAGGGACACTAGGGTGTCTGTGGGTATCAGTGACATGGAGGCATTCATTGAGACCGGGACACGAGGGTGTGTGTGGGTATCACTGACATGGAGGCATTCATTGAGACCGAGACACGAGGGAGGGTATCAGTGACATGGAGGCATTCATTAAGACAAGGACACGATGGTGTATGTGGGTATCAGTGACATGGAGGCATTCATTAAGACAAGGAAACGAGGGTGTGTGTGGGTATAAGTGACATGGAGGCATTCATTAAGACCGGGACACGAGGGTGTGTGTGGGTATCAGTGACATGGAGGCATTCATTGAGACCGAGACACGAGGGAGGGTATCAGTGACATGGAGGCATTCATTAAGACAAGGACACGATGGTGTATGTGGGTATCAGTGACATGGAGGCATTCATTAAGACAAGGAAACGAGGGTGTGTGTGGGTATCAGTGACATGGAGGCATTCATTAAGACCGGGACACGAGGGTGTGTGTGGGTATCAGTGACATGGAGGCATTCATTGAGACCAGGGACACTAGGGTGTGTGTGGGTATCAGTGACATGGAGGCATTCATTGAGACCGGGACACTAGGGTGTGTGTGGGTATCAGTGACATGGAGGCATTCATTGAGACAGGGACACTAGGGTGTGTCTGGGTATCAGTGACATCGCGACATTCATTGAGACCAGGGACACTAGGGTGTATGTGGGTATCAGTGACAAGGAGGCATTCATTGAGACAGGGACACTAGGGTGTGTGTGGGTATCAGTGACATCGCGACATTCATTGAGACAGGGACACTAGGGTGTGTGTGGGTATCAGTGACATGGAGGCATTCATTGAGACCGGGACACTAGGGTGTGTGTGGGTATCAGTGACATGGAGGCATTCATTGAGACAAGGACACTAGGGTGTGTGTGGGTATCACTGACATTGAGGCATTCATTGAGACCGGGACACTAGGGTGTGTGTGGGTATCAGTGACATGGAGGCATTCATTGAGACAAGGACACTAGAGTGTGTGTGGGTATCAGTGACATGGAGGCATTCATTGAGACCGGGACACTAGGGTGTGTGTGGGTATCAGTGACAAGGAGGCATTCATTGAGACAGGGACACGAGGGTATGTGTGGGTATCACTGACATTGAGGCATTCATTGAGACCGGGACACTAGGGTGTGTGTGGGTATCAGTGACATGGAGGCATTCATTGAGACAAGGACACTAGGGTGTGTGTGGGTATCACTGACATTGAGGCATTCATTGAGACCGGGACACTAGGGTGTGTGTGGGTATCAGTGACATGGAGGCATTCATTGAGACAAGGACACTAGGGTGTGTGTGGGTATCACTGACATTGAGGCATTCATTGAGACCGGGACACTAGGGTGTGTGTGGGTATCAGTGACATGGAGGCATTCATTGAGACCGGGACACTAGGGTGTGTGTGGGTATCAGTGACATGGAGGCATTCATTGAGACAAGGACACTAGGGTGTGTGTGGGTATCACTGACATTGAGGCATTCATTGAGACCGGGACACGAGGGTATGTGTGGGTATCACTGACATGGAGGCATTCATTGAGACAGGGACACTAGGGTGTGTGTGGGTATCACTGACATTGAGACATTCATTGAGACCGGGACACTAGGGTGTGTGTGGGTATCACTGACATGGAGGCATTCATTGAGACCGGGACACTAGGGTGTGTGTGGGTATCAGTGACAAGGAGGCATTCATTGAGACCGGGACACTAGGTCGTCTGTGGGTATCAGTGACATGGAGGCATTCATTGAGACCGGGACACTAGGGTGTGTGTGGGTATCAGTGACAAGGAGGCATTCATTGAGACAGGGACACTAGGGTGTGTGTGGGTATCAGTGACATGGAGGCATTCATTGAGACAGGGACACTAGGGTGTGTGTGGGTATCACTGACAAGGAGGCATTGATTGAGACAGGGACACTAGGGTGTGTGTGGGTATCACTGACATTGAGGCATTCATTGAGACAGGGACACTAGGGTGTGTGTGGGTATCAGTGACATTGAGGCATTCATTGAGACAGGGACACTAGGGTGTGTGTGGGTATCACTGACATTGAGGCATTCATTGAGACAGGGACACTAGGGTGTGTGTGGGTATCAGTGACAAGGAGGCATTCATTGAGACAGGGACACTAGGGTGTGTGTGGGTATCAGTGACATGGAGGCATTCATTGAGACCGGGACACTAGGGTGTGTGTGGGTATCAGTGACAAGGAGGCATTCATTGAGACAGGGACACTAGGGTGTGTGTGGGTATCAGTGACATGGAGGCATTCATTGAGACAGGGACACTAGGGTGTGTGTGGGTATCACTGACAAGGAGGCATTGATTGAGACAGGGACACTAGGGTGTGTGTGGGTATCACTGACATTGAGGCATTCATTGAGACAGGGACACTAGGGTGTGTGTGGGTATCAGTGACATTGAGGCATTCATTGAGACAGGGACACTAGGGTGTGTGTGGGTATCACTGACATTGAGGCATTCATTGAGACAGGGACACTAGGGTGTGTGTGGGTATCAGTGACAAGGAGGCATTCATTGAGACAGGGACACTAGGGTGTGTGTGGGTATCAGTGACATGGAGGCATTCATTGAGACAAGGACACTAGGGTGTGTGTGGGTATCAGTGACATGGAGGCATTTATTGAGACCGGGACACTAGGGTGTGTCTGGGTATCAGTGACATCGCGACATTCATTGAGACCAGGGACACTAGGGTGTGTGTGGGTATCAGTGACATCGCGACATTCATTGAGACCAGGGACACTAGGGTGTGTCTGGGTATCAGTGACATCGCGACATTCATTGAGACCAGGGACACTAGGGTGTGTGTGGGTATCAGTGACATGGAGGCATTCATTGAGACAAGGACACTAGGGTGTGTGTGGGTATCAGTGACATGGAGGCATTCATTGAGACAGGGACACTAGGGTGTGTGTGGTTATTAGTGACAAGGAGGCATTCACTGAGACCAGGGACACTAGGGTGTGTGTGGGTATCAGTGACATGGAGGCATTCATTGAGACAGGGACACTAGGGTGTGTGTGGGTATCAGTGACATGGAGGCATTCATTGAGACAGGGACACTAGGGTGTGTGTGGGTATCACTGACATGGAGGCATTCATTGAGACCAGGGACACGAGGCTGTATGTGGGTATCAATGACATGGAGGCATTCATTGAGACAGGGACACTAGGGTGTGTGTGGGTATCACTGACATGGAGGCATTCATTGAGACAAGGACACGAGGGTGTGTGTGGGTATCACTGACATGGAGGCATTCATTGAGACCAGGGACACGAGGCTGTATGTGGGTATCAATGACATGGAGGCATTCATTGAGACAGGGACACTAGGGTGTGTGTGGGTATCACTGACATGGAGGCATTTATTGAGACCGGGACACTAGGGTGTGTGTGGGTATCAGTGACATCGCGACATTCATTGAGACCAGGGACACTAGGGTGTGTGTGGGTATCAGTGACATGGAGGCATTCATTGAGACAAGGACACTAGGGTGTGTGTGGGTATCAGTGACATGGAGGCATTCATTGAGACAGGGACACTAGGGTGTGTGTGGTTATTAGTGACAAGGAGGCATTCACTGAGACCAGGGACACTAGGGTGTGTGTGGGTATCAGTGACATGGAGGCATTCATTGAGACAGGGACACTAGGGTGTGTGTGGGTATCAGTGACATGGAGGCATTCATTGAGACAGGGACACTAGGGTGTGTGTGGTTATTAGTGACAAGGAGGCATTCACTGAGACCAGGGACACTAGGGTGTGTGTGGTTATTAGTGACAAGGAGGCATTCACTGAGACCAGGGACACTAGGGTGTGTGTGGGTATCAGTGACATGGAGGCATTCATTGAGACAAGGACACGAGGGTGTGTGTGGGTATCACTGACATGGAGGCATTCATTGAGACAGGGACACTAGGGTGTGTGTGGTTATTAGTGACAAGGAGGCATTCACTGAGACCAGGGACACTAGGGTGTGTGTGGGTATCAGTGACATGGAGGCATTCATTGAGACAAGGACACTGGGGTGTGTGTTGTTATTAGTGACAAGGAGGCATTCATTGAGGCAGGGACACTAGGTGTGTGTGGTTATTAGTGACAAGGAGGCATTCACTGAGACCAGGGACACTAGAGTGTGTGTGGGTATCAGTGACATGGAGGCATTCATTGAGACAAGGACACGAGGGTGTGTGTGGGTATCAGTGACATGGAGGCATTCATTGAGACAGGGACACTAGGTGTGTGTGGTTATTAGTGACATGGAGGCATTCATTGAGACAGGGACACGAGGCTGTGTGTGGGTATCACTAACAGGGAGGCATTCATTGAGACAGGGACACTAGGGTGGCTGTGGGTATCAGTGACATGGAGGCATTCATTGAGACAGGGACACGAGGGTGTGTGTGGGTATCAGTGACATGGAGGCATTCATTGAGA